TTCCCATACGCTAGACCACTGACCTTCACGCTAGTATTCAGCCCCGTTTCCATCAAGAAATCGCGGTCTTCACGTGCGGCTCGTTGTTTCCATTTGCGACAGTGAAACCGCACAAAAGCACCAAACTGCGGCTTCTTCACATTTTACACGAGCTACGCACAGAATCGTCCCATCACAGCAATTTCACATTGTTTAGCGTGGTTTGTTCGACATCAGCACTGGAAGTCAGCTTGGTCGTGGCGTACCGACTAGAGTGTTGGCCTTCACGCAACTTGAGCTTAACACATGCGTCGTGTCAGCATGGCACCCCAGTTCACAAGGTACATGTGAACTGCATCCTCACGTGACTCTTAGTCACCTGCTTACTCATTCTGGTTGTGTATATAATCGCTCTCCGTAGCTCTCCGTAGCTCTCTTAATACAACAACCTTCTCCCTCCTTTTTGCCCTGTCTATCACATCGGACACGTCGCTCTGGTAGTTGCTCGCTCTGAGTGTGGGCTGATGGCATTGTACGCGAACGAACTTCATAAGCGTAATGTACGGTGCCTTCGTATTGTAATGCTACGTCTTTTCCCTCTTCGCGAAATGTGACTTTGCGCGACACTTCATATCTGTGACGGTGTGTGGAGGGGAGGACTGCGCTGAATTGACTATCTGAGTTGGGCAGAGCTACATATATAGATAGCCGTACATGAGCTATCCCAACTTGTGCTAGAGTGTGTCTGGGCAGAGCCCAAACTGTTACAATATCCACGTGTGTTCCAGCATTTTTGCGCACCGAGTTGTCACAATTCACAATATTCAAGAAATAGCCACTCAGTGCACTGCTTAAAGTCGTCCTCGCAATTCATACAACGCAAAACTTCATACACTAACCACTTCTCTATTTACCTTGACACTTATTCCAACCACCGAGCGACATTCTCAATCACATTGCAGCTAGCTTCCCAAACATTACATACGTACAATGAAGGGCCTCCTGGATCTTATTGCCGATGACAGGTCGTACTATCCGATTCACTCATGTATTCTGTCGCACCTTGACTTCAAAGATATTCTCAGTCTGCAACTGGTCTGCAAAGAAATCTCGCATCTCTACAAAACCCTCCTCAAGACTCAGTGGAACATTGACACTCGGCTAAAGCTATTATTCTCCGACGTACCTGCCTTCCGCTCATTGCAGTCGAAAACCAATACGCTGATCGTCGGGCCTGTCGCGACCGGCTTCTTCCGGCATTCTTCCTTCGAGATTCAGGACGAGGACGTCCAACTCATTGTTCGAAAAGGCCATGATGCTGAAGCTGTACAGAGCTTCTTGAGAGCACAGGATTATGATGCATTCAATAATTATGTATCCAAAGTCTCCGTGCTCCTTGGTGTTGATAAGGTCGGTAAAATACCTGTTCACAAGAATGCTGCTAACAACGACTTTTAGGTCGAGGTCTATGTCAAGGGTGACGACCAGGCTGGGTATTACCCTCATTTGCTTCTTCTGCACGCTCAAGATGCGCCAATCACCGTCTTCCTTCAAAACGTTGAGGGTACCTGTGATGCCTGCTTCATTACATGGAATAAAGCATATTGTCTTTTCCCTGTGAGCACAATGCTTGCGCGCGAGTCGTTCCTAATGGCCCCTCTGAAGGACAAGCCTACTGCTGAAGAGCTCAAGGAGAATAAGCACGCGACAGCCGCTTCGATTAAGGCCGTGAAAGAGCAGGGCTACAAAGTCAAAACTGGCATCTGGCAAGTCGACACACAGGATAAGCCGGCGACTCGTGCGTAGCTCGGTCCACACCGCCGACTTGGAGACAAAACTCCTGGATCGTTGATCTTGACACTACCAATGTCACGCCCTCGTCCGAGTACCCGGATTCCCTACTCAAGAAAGCTGGCGTTTTCCTTCGCCACATGGTCACAGAAGACAGTCTCGTAAGCTACCTAGATCTCACATGGTACCGCATCGATTTCTTTGTACTCCGACACACATATATCACGTGCTCGTTTGGAGCTACAGCGCACGATCCGCAATGTATGTGCCTGCCAGATGAGCGTGAGACGCGCGAACAAGGCTTTGGACAGTTGACAGACATGCTTGCTGAGGCGACACTAATCCAACTCATGATGCTCGATGAAGACAAGAGAGCGCCGCAGTATGCCACTATTTTGCAGGACGTTGGTACTGCAGACGGTATGCGGAAAGACTTCGAGGTTACCGATGACTGGCAATTTTTCGACGACATGGTTCAGAGGCGGCTGGATGAGATGTGGAGTAGCATGGAAGAGGGGGGGAGGAAGAGATATAGGTAGTTGGACTAAAGTCTTTCGCTTGTTGCACTAAGTCCAGTGAGCGAGTGAAGCCTGAACTTTTTACTCTGAAACGCATGAATCACCGGCTTTGAGTCGAGTGAACTCACATAGTTACCTAGTCCTTCACTTTGGCATTTCTTCCAGGTAGACATACCAATCCTCCCAGAAGCCAAGCTCAACAACTTGGGCGTTCACAAACCACCTCTAGACCAGCTGTTTTCAGATCTCGATACTGAGCTGAACGGTTCAACTTGCATGAAGCTCAAGATGCTCAAACCATGGGACCGTCCAAACAACTACCACTGAAATTATTCGCGAACCCGATCTCGCATTCCTAGCGTGGTAAAAATTTGCTATGCCGGGGTGGTGGTCCTACGAGGATGCGAAGGCTAAGAGATTCCTAGACGCATTGGTGGAAACTATCAACAACCGTGTCACCCCAGCCGATCCTGGACCTGAGTTGCAAATTAAGACCTTTGTTGACATTTAACTCGGGTTGCGCAGAGTGTAGCACTACAAAAGGTCGAAAGGGCTGCGAAAACAGTACTCCAGAAAATGGCACTAAGCTGGGTGTGCCTGTCTTATTGTTGGGATCGTGGTTGCGCTTGCTGCATGCCGAAAACTCACGCGTTCAGTGTGAAGAAAAGCACTGCGCCCTTAGTTCAATCGCTTTGAACATTGTGTGCGAGTGCGAGGATCGCACAGTTCTTCTCACGTATGTGATATGAAAGGAGAATGAAGGACTGAGTTGATTGTATAGCTATGAACGAGGGAAGCTATATATATGTGTAGAATATGAGAGCGTAGGGATAACCCTGCTAGCGTGCAACAGTTCTTCATCAAATCTGGACTAGAAGTAACATGAATAATATGATACGTAATTGGACTTCATTCTCGAATATAAATGTCCTTTATTTGTACTGTGGTGCCCGGAGCAATGTCACTCTCGAATATCATGCTGAGACAGTGTGGAATGCTCCAGAAGGGGCAGGCAGCACTCGTTTCCACCGCCAACTTTCCTCCATAGGTCTCTTGTCAAATACACCAACTGTCGCCTTACGGTACGAATCATATCGCTGTGCTGAGTGGGTGCCTGCCTTGATCGCGAGCTTAGCATTTACGTCTGTTGGATTATAGACTACTAGTACTTCTGGCGATGCAAAACACCAACGATCCGAAGACGGTAGACAGAAATGGAGCCATGCTTGAATGTGCAGTGTCTAGTAGCTCAAGCTCACACACTTTCCTTCCCACTCCCCTCCCCCCTCTTTGACAACCTTCTCATACAACCATAGTCCCAAATCATTCCGGCCGATACTCCAGCCAGCTACTGGCCCGGGAGCTGCCCTCTTCCTTTCTCTTTCCAAGCCCCATTCCCATCCAACCCTCACCTTCCCCACACCCCTCACCGGCCCATCTGTAAGGATGGCCGGTCTCACCACCACAAAGTCTCTCACATGCGCTCCCCGATCCGCATGAAGCAGTTTCTCCATAGCCAGCTTATCGTCGTGAGGTGCGCCCAAGAGCCAAATGTACAGTGGCGCCGTAATCCAGGACCAGGGCAAGGCTTTCCATACGTCTCCAGAGGCTGTAGAGCTGATGACCACGATCAGTGGTTTTTTCCCATTGACTGTCGTTGAGATATGGCTCCGGATTGATAACCGATCGATCGCAGCAAATTGCGCAGCCATGCCGTCTTCACATATCGTTGCGTCTTTCGCGGGGAGTGGAAAGGGACGTCCGATCGAGGCTTGGAAGATGGGGTACGTGCCAATCGACGTGTAAATGATATCTACAAAGTGGGAAGGAGATGATGGATTGATGAGGGAGCTGGAGACCTAGATGCACATCAGAAGTTGTAGTTAAAGAGGGTGTGCGAGCTTATTACGTCGACATGGTCTTTAGCATCGCCTTGGTAGATCGTGAGGAGTTCATTGATAGAGCTGCGCGATACATTGTACTGCGTGGTGAGTAAATTGTCAAGTTTGGAGGGTGTGCGAACGACTGTCAAGTGTCAGCGCCGTGGTGAAAGTCGACAAGGGGAGATGTACGAGCGGTGCAGTGGTGACCTGCTTTCAATGCAAGAGCTAGGCAGGCGCATGCGCTCCCACCCGTTGCGCCAAAGAACGCAACTGTTGGCTTTGATGAGATCATGATTGTAGACTGTGCGATACATTCTCAAGTCAAGTCGTCTTTGCAACAACAGGCTTTATATTACCTCATCTAACGCCACAAGTTACGTGCTTGCGGCTTATAAATGCGTATACCTTGCGAGCCAACATTATGTACCTATTCCATCGTATTGCTATGGTTGTTCTCTCGTAGGTGACCGCCGGCGTGATTGAAGTCGTGACCATTGTACCATGACGGGGTGACGATGCTCCGGACGGAGTGAAGTTCGCCCGTCATCCAAAACACGACGCAATTGCAAATGTTAGGCGCATCTTCTACATCCCAACTTCTTCTCCCTTCGAGACTCAACAGTGAGCTGTAAGTGGAAAGGGAGCTTGATTTTTTCGACATTTTGGTTTTGCCCCACTTTGGCTTTCTCGCTTCGCTCTGAGGTCCGCACCATGCCACATATCCATATCTTTGTCTGCATACCCGCTGTGGCGCATCTCCCCTTGCAGACCGCTGAATCTGTAGTATATAATGTTGATACTAATACTTGCTTAGTCATACTCAACTCCAGCCTGCTTGGCCAAGTGGTAAGGCGTCGCACTTGTACATGTGGCATGCGAAGAGCACTCGTTCGATTCGGGTAGTAGGCATTATTTTTGCCATGTTCCTTACTTGCTGTAATTTCATGGAACGGATCGCATACGTAATGAGAGGTTTGCCACCCACCCATTTTTTTATAGCAACCGAGTCACACCACCAGCAAACAGCCAGTTGCCTGCTCGAAAAAATAAACACAAACTTCTAACAGTGTTTCAGTAATCGAAGTTGCGACAACGACCGGCCTAGTTCATCGTACTCTTGCAAGCTGTCGATGCTGTCATCCTCTCCTGAGGTTCGATCTCTCGCGTTTCTGGCGCTCTTGGCGGCATGGATCTTCCAAATTCCAGGCATGTTTTCCTTATACGCAGCTAAAACTCATTAGTCAGAAGGAGATACCAGTTCCCTGGGGCTGTAAATTTTGTGCCCAGAGAGGTCCAGAAGTTAAGAAGGGAAGCGAAGTTTCATCATTCCAGCACGTTCATAAAATCAGCTGAGTGAGGTAGGTCATTAATTTGCAGAAAGACCTCAATTCTATCGCACAGCCTTCCTCATGACGATATATTCAAGTATCTGCACAGTTGTGTCGCTACTGTGGTGTGATGTTGACGGCTGCAATGGACCGTGTAGCACTATCAGGCCTCATAGCCAGACTCCGCAACAAACAAGCAAGTATCAATTAATTGCAAGAATTACTTGAAACTATCAAGTCAAGTAAGTCAAGTATAGATCTACTTTTTTACCAAGCAAGCAAGCATGAGATTTGTGATACTTGCAATTAATTGATACTTGCTTGGTGTTTTATACGGCATTATTTTAGGCAACATTTTAGGTAGTTTGGTAGAGGGCACCGACTTTAGAGTTTTAGTGTTCTAACTTAGTCATCTAAAGTCGAACGCGACGACGCTAGCGCGCCTGTCAACACTAACAACACGCGCCTAGCCCTATTGTAACGGTTTGGGCTCTGCCCAGACCTACTCTAGCACAAGTTGGGACAGCTCATGTACGGTCATGTATATAAGCGGATCTGCCCACCTCAGATAGTCAATTCAGCGCAGTCCTCCCCCTCTCCACACACCGTCACATTACATGCTATTCTCAATATAGACTCCACCCATACAGGCCCAATACAACGCACAGATACAACTGCGCCCAAGCAGGTCGGTTGTTGAGGTTGATCAGGAAGATTATGAGCGGAGTGATAAAGCGCGGCACGTTGCAGTAAAGTAATACAGCAAAAACAAGCAGTTCAAGCCCTGGCCAATCGTTAGTAAAAAAACAATAGTTCCCAGCGAACAACTCACACGAATACCCTGTAAAAGGAAGCATCGTCTTCCTAACTGCCCACCACTCTCTGAACGGTGCTGCTTCAGACATGTCGACGACCCATCTCCAGTAGCGCTCCAGATCGGTTCCGCGATATTCTTGTTTTACGGCTCGCCAAAAGGACACAAAGCGCAGGTCGTTGGATATTCTCATCCGCCATGCTTCGTAGATATTGCGCCTAAGTTTCCAGTCTGCCGAGGCGACCACCAAATCCCAAACTCGCCGCCAAAAAGTCGAAGAAATCAATGTGTCAAGGATGGCGAGAAACATACGTCTGATTGCTGCGTGCGGTTCTGCGGAGGTAACCTGGGGTGCAGGTTGGGATTCGTTTTCGGTTCCGGTTTGCTTCGCAACTACTTTTGAGGGCGAAATATCTGCGTCGACATCAGGGTTCCTCACCGAGCTTCTGTGCAGCTCTATCTCTTCTTTTTGATTGAGTTTCTGCTCCGAATCTGCGGCACCACACTGAGCTACTACGATGGGCAGTTTTCCCTGCAAGTTCACCGATGGATTCTCCTCGGAGTTATTGATATGAGTGCAGGCATACTGCTGACTAGTAGAGAGCTGTACACCGAATACGCGGCCCGATGTAGAGATTGCGGCTACTTAGATATCAACGAGACTGCTAGGTATCAGAGTAAATCTATCCACTGACATGAAGGGCCGGCGATCTCTGGCATACTTTGCATTCGGGCATTTGGGGGGGCCCCTTGAGACTCTGTCTCTGGTTTAGTTTTGATGTGTTGCACTTCCTCGGGCGATGTAATTGCGTTGTTGTTGGTGGGCATGATCCCACTTCTTCCAGACGTCGGCCGCGACTCACTTGTATCGTCAGCGATCTCTCCTTGGCGGATCAGTCCGGTGTGAGTATCCTCTACCGGACTACCTACAGAATCTGTATGATCGTCTGTAGAGCAGCAACAAATGCCACAGAATGAAGTGGCACTGAAGTCTGGCTCCACTTCAGAAGTGGTCAACTCCAACACCCGTGCTGCTGAAGGTCGAGAGGTACGTTCTGCCTGGAGCATGCATCGAATCCAACTCAACGGTCGTTTTTCGACCCTATCCCAGGCATCTTCCCATTCGTCCAACAGCTGCTCAGTAGCTTTAAGATTCGCGTGGTAGTGATCGCTTTTGGTATAGTGCTTTTTGAAATAGTCTCGGATCCAAGCATCGCTATGACCATGCAATGCAGCCGCGATCTCTAGGAAGACACATCCTAGAGACCAGATGTCACCGGTATAATTACGTTTTCCATGCGCAGCCACCTCTGGGGGAGCATATCGCGGGGTGTGTGCAGTCGGTCCAGAAGTAGTGTCAAGGAAGTCGCGAGACAGACCGAAATCCGTTATCAGTACTTTGCTTCCGTGTATGAGGATGTTGCCTGGTTTGATGTCTCTGTGTTTGATGGTTTCGGCGTGCAGGTAGTAAAGCGCGGAGGCTAAACAGCCAAAGAATGTTTTCATAGTTGGACGTTTGCTCGTGTCGGTGCATGTTTCGTGCATGTACGTCGTAAGGTCACAATCTGCGACTGGACTCATAACCAATCCTAGAAATCTGGAATCCGTGTAGCTGCCAATGTATCGCACAATGTGTTCGTGATCAAACGTCTTCATTATTTCTTTTTCACTCCGAAACTCTGTGATAGCCAGCATGGACTGGTTGCCGAATGCAGCCCGTCGACGTATTCTTTTGAGAGCATACTCTTTGAAACTAACCCTGCTCACAATTTTGTCCACCTGTCCATACTGTCCAGAACCTAACCGATTGCCGATTTGGAACAAATCAGGGTGGTCTGGCCCTCCACCCAGCGTTAGGTGTTCGCCATGTTCAAAGTGAAGAGCTGCGGTCTCAACCAGATTCTGTGTTTGAAGAATGCTGTTCACAATTCGTGTGTCGAGGAACGAAGGCAGACCACGCGCTTCGCGGATTGGGAACCATTCATCAGCAAATCCCTTGCTCAATAACTTGTCCAGCTGCTCTAGGTGCCCGACGGTCCTCAGGACGATATAGATACGTGGACATTCTCGTGCGATGTTCCCTGAAAGTGCCAGCAAACGTGCTATTTCGTTGATATCGGAGTCTTCGAACTTGTCACGAGGCTGAGAGGCATCGAAGTAGCTAGACAGCTGCGCCTCAATGGCAGTGATTTGTACGCTTGCTAAAGACATCGCCCGCCCGCATGCCGGCAAGCGCAAAGGTGACGGTAATCAATGCAACGATAAAAAGGAAGACTTCGGTATCAATGTAGAGAACAGGTGAAGTGCGAAGTGTGATCCCAGGCTGAACACTTTTAGCGCTGTGGCTGTGAGCCAGGGCTTACATAACGTGTCCGTGCACTCAACGCCCGGAGTCGGTCAACGCCCCGCCGAACAACACCAAAACACCAGACCCACCCCAACTTATTTACGTGATAATTCCACCAATATGGACCCAGTTGAGGCTGCGATAGCAGTATTTGATGCGCAAGAGCTAGGAGAAGAAACCTCGTATACAAAATTGCAGGTTACGCGTTTTATCTTAAGAAACAGTATCTATCTCATCTCTAAATGGAGCACTGGAATGGATCGCGTACGCCACTAAGCTGATTCTGGTGATAAGTATACGCTATACTTTCAGTTGTTGCATGAGAAAATAAAGGAATATAATATAGAGCGGCACTAAATATACAATATGGATGAGAAGGGCTTCATGATAGGGGTACTCGGCAGGGCAAAACGGGTGTTTAGTAAGCGTATGTGGGTGAAGAAGGAGGTGAAGGCATCGATCCAGGATGGAAATCGGGAGTGGATAACAGTACTAGCATGCGTTTGTGCTGATGGATCAGCTCTTCCACCCGGGATCATCTATCAGAAGCTAGTAGAGCAGTTTGGGATGCCTGGGTGAACGATATTACGGCTGGAAAACACCAGGTTCATGTCTCCTCAAGTCCCTCTGGATGGACGAATAACGATATAGGACTGCCCTGGCTTGAACAGGTGTTTGATCGCTACACTAAACCCAGAACCTATAGAGTGTACCGCTTACATATCTTAGATGGCTATGGATCTTATCTCACTATGGATTTCATAGAGTGTTGTGACCAGAACAAGATACTCATGGCCATCTTTCCTCCCCATTCAACTCACACGCTTCAGCCACTAGATGTGGTGTTGTTTAAGCTTCTCTCATCGGCTTACTCATCCGAACTCGCTCGGCATCAACAATAAGCACTAGGGCTTCTCCCTATCACGAAAGGAGACTTCTTCCTATTGTTTTGGGCTGCCTGGATGACCTCATTCAAGAAAAAGACTATACTTAAAAGCTTTGAAGCCACTGGTATATACCCTATGGATGCCGACCTTATACTGAAAAGGTTTATCTAGACCCCACCCGGATAAGATAGCGAGCAGGGATCTTCTACACACTCCCTTGTGGCTAGTTATAAGGAGATAGAACCCCTAATTTGAGCTATAATGAAGGACATCTATTGAAAGGAGTTAAAAAAGCTTAGTCGCTCACTTCACCGACTTACTGTTTAGAATACGCTACTCAAACACGAAAATAAGGGGTTATAAGCAGCTCTTAACACTAAAAAGAAGCGGAAAAAGTATAGTAAACCTCTCGATCTTCAATAGCGTAAGGAGTATCACGGTAGGGCTATTTTCTGGTTACTAAGGAAGGTGAGAGAAGCTCGGGTACGGGCGATGGTGAAGGAGCAAGAAGAGCAATAGGAAAAACTCTAAAA